CTGCCAAAAAGATATGGTATGATGAATTGATCAAAGAACTTAAATTTGTTTATATTTAGTGAAATTATTCAGAAGACATCAGTTTTTGATATCAGGCATACATTTCTCCCATGAAAACAGTAGGCAGTAACATCTGGGAGTAGAGGAGAGAAGTAGCAACTTGTGGGTGGAAGGTTGCATGTGGCCCTCGAAGACTTGCTAGGAAGAAGCCATGGCTAATGTGGGAGAATAGAAAATTGTTTAAACATATGAGGACATCATCATATTGATTGTATTTGATATATTTGATTTAAATGTCAGTTATATAAATGTGAATTTTAACTTTACTTCACTAAAAAGTAGAGAGCACACCCTGTCAAACCACTCAAAGGTCAAATGAAACAGCTGACCTGAACAATGTCTTCTACAAAAATAAATATAGGAAGTGGATAAGCTTTGTAAAGCAGTCATTGTTTCTACCTGTGGCATTTTGTAGAGGCCTGTGAGGGTAGCCATAGAGAAGGAGACAGAGGGGTCTAATTCCCCAACCAGGGCCATCAATTTTTTTGCCTTCTCACAGCTATAATTAGGAATGGTTCTTTTCCAAGTGGAAAGAAACTTCAAAGTATTGTAATTAGCCATCCTTACATGGGAATAACTGTCATATATGTGGAACCCCAGGGTGAGATTTGGGAATTCTCATTGATCACCTTCTGTGCAAATGCCATGATCAGGACATGATGGTAGTTCTTCAGCTTCAGATTGAAAACAGAGTTACATTATGAAAAAGAGACACAATCTTCACTTTTTGACCCATTTCTTTGGTGTTAGGTCAGTGTGTGTGGGAAAAAACTATATTATTGTTGAATGAAAGCTTTTAGCAGTCTTAGTCCATATGGCTAACAGTGAAGAATGTTGACATGTGAAGTTCAGCAATATCTAGAGGGACACAGGTTATTGCTGTTTGGATATGAATAGATTAGTTCTTCCTTATTTATAGAAAGGTGAATGTATATGCTTCTATTTCTCCCCTCCCCTCCCCTCCCCTCCCCTCCC